TGTTTTTGTTGAGATTACACTCACTTCCTTAATTTATTTGGCAAAGTTATTGCCTCCATTATCTATAACCTCGAGGCCAAATCAAACCTCACTACACACTACAGCAGGGATGAACTTAGAAAACATGCTGAGTGAAATGAGCAGACACAACAGGACAAATACTGTCTGATCCCACTTATACGTATTCCCTGGAGCAAATTCATAAAGACAGAGGTAGAGGGTGGTGGCCTGGGGCTGGGAGAAAGGGAATGGAGTTCAATAGGTATGAGTTCAGTTCTACAGGATGGAAAGACTTTGGAGATGGTGGTGATAATGGTTGCACAACACTGAATATACTTAACATTACGGAACTATATGTTTAAAATTATAAAAATGGCCAATTTCATGTTATGAATATTTTACCACAATAAAGATGTCACCAAAAAAAGTACCTACTCTCCCTCAAGAAAACATCTTGACTCCTTAATTATGACAACCACTTCCTCATATCCTGATCATGTCTTTCCCTACTGTTCTGATTCTGACACCATAGAAACGTCTAAATGCCAAATTCTACTTCCAATGGTACTAAGTGATGTTCAAGTTTGACCTCACGAAAAGGTCTTTGAGTGTCCCCCCTGCCCCTGCCCTCAGTTTCATTACTAGTGTGTCCTGCCCACCCACCCACAGGGAAGGAGGTATTTGCTGGTTCCCTAATTTTAATTTCTGTTCTCTTAGCAAAGTTAGCATTGTCTGCACAGGTCACCAATTGGTTATGCATGGTGAAACAGCATGAGATTTGGGGGCAGAAAAAGTCAATGGTTTTGCTGCTGTGAGAACATGGGATGTTAATAGGTCACAACTCAATGATTAAGTAATTAGCATACTGTAGGATTACAGGAAAAGGTAGTAAACAGACCCCCTCTTCCCTCCTGGGGAAATCTTTCAAATACAGTTCCTTGTTGAATGTGTTTCTCCTTAAATGAATTCTGCTCTACAGCCTCGTTCCTTTATTCTTCTGACCAGAATGAACACATCTGTGGAATTCGCTGTGAGCTATTCTGCAGCCAGCTGTTGCTAAGACTTTTATTCCGGTTGAAATTAAGAACAGATCCAAGGACCCTCTACCTACTGTGAGGGTCTGATGGAGTTACCTAAAACTGCAAATGGTGAGACAATGTGGACTGTTCATATAGTTTCTACAACACTTTTGCCTCACTTGCGAATCTACACTTACTCTGTTATCTTTGCTATTAATCAAAAATAGAAGCAGAGCCATCAGTGAAAGAAAATCTGTGTTGCCATAATAATGTACTGCGGGTCCTTGTGGAGGTGTCCTCTGAGCAGAAAGCAAGGACAGTTGTTAAAAAGGCTGGTTTCCTGGGAAAGTTGTTCAATTTTCGGCCACGAGGAAAAATGAGTAAGAAATTCTCTTGTGTCACACTCGTGGGTACATTTGCACACGATCTCGAAGGGATGCTTTGCTGATTATTAAACTGTTTAAAAATTGAGGTACAGCTGCCTGTTGAAGCATCTTCAAACTCGGACACCGTGGAGAGAAGAAATCTTCATAAAAGTGTTTCAAGCAATATGGAGGTCCTCACCATGACCAAACAAGCCTAAAGCTCAGCCAATTTGACCTTAAATTATCCTACATGGGAGAGAGTTGCCAGGTCAGACCCCACTAGAGCAGCGGTTCTCAACCTGTGGGTCGCAACCCCTTTGGGGATCGAACGACCCTTTCACAGGGGTCGCCTCAGAGTCTTAGGCTAAGACCATCGGAAAACACATATAATTACATATTGTTTTGTGATTAATCACTATGCTTTAATTATGTTCAATTTGTAACAATGAAATTGGGGGTCACCACAACATGAGGAACTGTATTAAAGGGTCGCGGCACTAGGAAGGTTGAGAACCACTGCACTAGAGCTAAGTGTGTGTGCATGTGTTTATAAGAAAATGTAAATTACCTACTTCATGACTAGAGTATTCATCACCCTCAACAGAATGACAATTTAGGAAACAGAGCTGAGAGCGTTTCCTACACTGAGATTAAGAACATCCTATTAGTGAAATTCAGATTCAAACAGTCTTGAAACCGTTTTGTAGAGGACTATTTGAAATATAACCACAACTTTGTCTCCTGTCTTCTCAGGGGATTTTTATGTTGAAAATGTACTGTGTCCCTTCCTCCATCATCTCAATACAGCGTATTCTCTGAGTGTCCAAATTCTGTGAAAAGGAAGGATTTTAGGGAAGGACAGCACATTAGCATTGGGGTAATATTTTTGAAACCGTTAGTGATGAAATAGCCAGTTTCCATGTCATAGTGACATGGTTACTTACACTAAACAATGGAAAGGCAGTCAGCAGCTGTACTGCTCCTACAAAACTCTTTACCTAGAAAAACGGGTTGACCATTTAAATCAAATTTGTCCCTAATCCACTCTGAAATCTATAATCTAAGTTAGTTCAAGGAGCTAAAGATTATTCCTAGACTTAGCATAATATCTCCTTTCTCAGATATAATTTAGAAAATCCTCATATTTATATGGAGATAGAATTAACATTAAATATTTACTAATAAGTAGTGCACTTACATTTTTGAGCATGCATATTTAATAAATATGCTTTAGTTTGTCCTGGAGTTCATACTATAGTTCAGAAAGTTTCACTTCCAGCTTTCAGAAAGAACAGGCCTTTATTTTGGGGGGAGGATTCTTCTTGTTTGCTTTTTACTGTAGCTATTCTTGAAAGGAAACTCTTAAGAACCTTTCTTATCTAAACGGCCACCCATCACACTACCGCCTAAGTTATACAGACAGGCCACTGAACACTGTTTCACTAAAGGGCCATTTTCCTTAGCTCGAACAAGCAGAGTCCCAAATGCTGAACAAAGAATGCATTAGACAATAACAAGGGAATATGTGTTTTCTTCTCCATCTGTTTCATGAACCAGAATTATAGTAAAATTATAAATTTATAAACAGCCAAATATTTATTCAACCATTAATCCATTAATATTGCTGACTTCTCTCCACCCAAATATTGTAATTTACCTAAATATTTCAAAATAGGAGAACCTCTGGGAGGTTTCAGGAATTTGTCATTTGTCTAGAAAGTGTCCTTAATCTTGAGTGGTTACTTTAAACGTCTGAAGATATTAAACAGTTGAAATTTTGGCAAGGTTAAATATAATACAGGAATAGTATGGGAACCCTTTTACATATTTTGTTTTTATATCAATTTTCCCCTGGAACATGCTATGGATGGTGCATTGACAAGTGAACAATGAGCAGTGACTTTGTGTACAAACAATGTTCAGCACATTTTGCTTGTCATGAAAGGTGCTCTCTCCTCAATAACAAAGCCGGGCTGGCCCTGCAGCTGCCATTTTCCAGAATGTAACTCTTGCCCATCTCTCATATTACCTTCTCAGATTCTGTATGCATCGTAGAGAACCATGGGAGGAAGGAAATTTTCTAAAAGCACAATATTACTGTAAAGAGCCATAGCCCTGAGTGAAATCACATGTGGGTGATTCAAAGCCTGGAGAAAGGAGGCAAGTCACAGAAATCACCATTTTATATGGAGGAGTTTGGAAGTTGCTCGCCCTTTTGTTGATCTAACTTGTCAATGTTCAACACATGAAAGTTACTCATGCAATACTGTAGTTTTCAATAGACCCAAGTATGCAAATGAGTGTAGATTTTTACCATAAACTCAAATCCACTTGAAAATACTAAAAAAGCTATTAATATGTCAAGTATTCCAATTTTAATTTCTGTGGTTGATAACATGATAATATATCTATGTCTATATATACCATTTATATACTTGTCGTTAGTTGAATTAGAGGATACTTTTGTGTATTTGTACTGTGTATTGTAATAAATTGTGGGCACTTGAATACATTACTGTGAATCAGACTTAAATCTGATTGTTCAAGAATACATCCACTGGGGGCGGGGTGGGGGGGCGGAAGGAATACATCTACTGAGGTGGTCACGCTGGAATCAGCAACAATTGTCCAAGGCAAGCCGGCTCTTCAGAGCACTGCAGATCACGGATCACCAAGAGAGCTTACGTGTTAGGATTCTGGATCTTTCTCTCCAAGGTTCTCCTCCCTCTTGCCCCCTCCCTCCATTGAAACACACACATCGCAAGCATGCACGCGCGCGCACACAGTACACACGCAGAATGGCCCTTGTGTCTGAGTCCGGCTCTGCAGGAACAAGCTCCTCCCTGTGAGCTGTCTGTAGTAGTTTCTGTTGTAAATGCCCTAAGTTGGAGAGGCCCTGAGCTGCAGCTGCAGTGAGTGTTAGCGCACATTAGGGCACGGAGAAATGCCACCGCGGAAGGTAACACATGGGCTGCAGCGCGGCTGGTGGAGCAGGGCGAAGTCGGTGTCTTGGACGGGATCCATCTCCACTGCGGAGTTGTCACGAGGGGAGAACAATACGGCCAGGAGCGGTGGGAGAGGACGGCTCCCCCTCCCCAGGCTATAGCTCCAGGCTGCACCACCACGGAGGCGGGGGCGCTCCCCTCACTCCCCCCCCCACACCCCCGCGTACCAATAATGCTTTTTTGGGGAGTCAAATTGGGATTTTTGTTCCCAGACTCAACTTATTGCAATTAAGTACCGGCCCAGGGAGAGTAGTTGGTGTGAAGAAACGAAGTTTGAAAAACAGAAAAATTAGAGAACTTTTCAAGGATAATCAAACAAACAAAATACATAGTCATTTTAAAATTGCCTTACAGCAGAATCCGCGTCCTGAAGTCTTTCCAGACTGACCCTTTGATGTTGGTTCAGGACTTAATGCATTGATACTCAGCGTCTGAATGCCCCCAAAAGCATTTGCCAGGAAGTTGAGTAAACGCACCGCCCCCGCCCCCCGCCCCAGGCTGTTTGTAATGCACATGCACTGAGCCCTCCCGAAGGAGCCCCAAGAATCGCTCTGGACTCGAGGCTCAGCGCTCAGGTGCTCAAGCCAGCTGAGATGCATCCACGACACGTCTGCACGTATGGATGCGTGCGTGTGTGCGGATCTGTGTGTGCGCGTAAACAGCTTCTCAGAACTGGAGCTGCGGCAGCGGAGTCCTTGGAAGGAAGGGGCGACGACGAGCCGTTGGAATCGTGATTCAGGACTATTAGGGAAAGAATGAGCTGCTTCTGAGTCATCGCGAGCCTCCAGACTTTCCCCGCAGTGTGGCAGAACTTTGTGCTGATGAGACAATAGTGAAGCGTGTGCGTTTCCTACAGGGCAGACCATTCCGGGGCTGGGGGAAGCCTGGGGCCTGGGCCGGGCGGCG